CACTCCTCTGCCTCCAGTGACCCCATGCACTCCCATGTCTCCAGTGACCCTCTGCACTCCTCTGCCTCCAGTGACCCCCTGCACTCCTCTGCCTCCAGTGACCCCATGCACCCTTGTGTCTTCTGTGACCCCATGCACTCCTCTGCCTCCAGTGATGCCTGCACTCCTCTGCCTCCAGTGACCCCATGCACTCCCATGTCTCCAGTGACCCTCTGCACTCCTCTGCCTCCAGTGACCCCCTGCACTCTTCTGCCTCCAGTGACCCCATGCACTCCTCTGCCTCCAGTGACCCCCTGCACTCCTCTGCCTCCAGTGACCCCCTGCACTCCTCTGCCTCCAGTGACCCCCTGCACTCCTCTGCCTCCAGTGACCCCATGCACTCCTCTGCCTCCAGTGACCCCCTGCACTCTTCTGCCTCCAGTGACCCCATGCTCTCCTCTGCCTCCAGTGACTCCATGCACTCCTCTGCCTCCAGTGACCCCCTGCACTCCTGTGTCTCCAGTGACCCCCTGCACTCCTCTGCCTCCAGTGACCCCCTGCACTCCTCTGCCTCCAGTGACTCCATGCACTCCTGTGTCTCCAGTGACCCCCTGCACTCCTGTGTCTCCAGTGACCCCCTGCACTCCTCTGCCTCCAGTGACCCCCTGCACTCCTCTGCCTCCAGTGACCCCCTGCACTCCTCTGCCTCCAGTGACCCCCTGCACTCATCTGCCTCCAGTGACCCCCTGCACTCATCTGCCTCCAGTGACCCCATGCACTCCTCTGCCTCCAGTGACCCCTCTGCACTCCTTTGCCTCCAATGACCCCATGCACTCCTGTGTCTCCAGTGACCTCCTGCACTCCTCTGCCTCCAATGACCCCTACACTCAAGTGTCTTCAGTGACCTTTGCACTCTTGTGTGTCCTGTGACCCTGCATTCCTCTGCCTTCAGTATCCCCTGCACTACTCTGCCTCCAATGACCACTACACTCCTCTACCTTCATTGACCCCTGCACTTCTGTGTTCCCAGTGACTCCTGCACCCCTCTGTCTTCTGTGACCCCTGCACCCCTCTTCCTCCAGTGACCCCTGCACTCCTGTGCCTTCAGTGACCCCTACACTATCATGTCTTCAGTGACCCCTGCACTCTTCCTGACCCCTGCACTCCTGTGCCTCCAGTGACCCCTACAATCTTTACTCCCCTAAAGGCATGATAAATGCTTAGTTACCTTTGTCCAAGCTGGAACAATGTAACAATTTATAAAATATCTATAACCTGGAATTCTTTTTGAATGCCCCATCAGCCAGATGTACACCCAGAACCGCCAGTGTGTAGTACAAATATAGCCCAATATTAGATTGTAAGCTCCCAGGATCAGGGCCCTCCTTAACCCTCTTGTATTAAACTGTATTGTTGCTGTATTGTCTCCCTTTATATTGTAAAGCGCTGAGCAAACTGTTGGCGCCATAAATCCTGTATAATAATAATAATATATAAATCCTGTATAATAATAATAATAATATAAATCCTGTATAATAATAATAATAATAATATAAATCCTGTATAATAATAATAATATAAATCCTGTATAATAATAATAATAATAATATAAATCCTGTATAATAATAATAATATAAATCCTGTATAATAATAATAAATATAATAATAATAATAATCATAATAATAATAATAATAATATTATTATACAACCATTTATTCCAAGCTGCATAGAGCTGTTTAAGCTTTTTTTGTTACCACCATTGCAGTGCATGCAAACCATGGCTTCTTTGGAGGAAGGTTTGGGACCCAACGAGACAAAATACCCCATACAGGCTATGGTGCTATTTTAGAAAATGCCAATTTTTTTTATGATGCACAATTCTTTAGGCAAATTAAATGTCATTTTTTTAGGGGTTCACCTCTACATTACTTTGATCATATGCTCTTTGATTCAAAAAAAAAAAAAAAAAAAAAAAAATCGCTGGATTTTCACAATGCCAACAAAAGATGAACTTCAAATACTGACGATGAATATCTAGATTGTCCTCTAGGTTGTGCTATCGGCACGCGGCACACGACCGAGCGCTAACAATAGGAAGATCTGTTTTTTTTGTGCTTAGGATGCCGATAATAATGGTATAGTAAATAGAAAGAAAAAATTAAAAAAATATATATTGTTATATGTTGTATCCACACAAGTCAGTGTTTACAAGGCCCCATAATTGCTGACATCTGGGATACATGCAGTCAGAGATAAGACAATTAGGTAACCTGCATCTGGTGTGCTTGCATGCAATGCTCCGCTGATTAGATTGCAGGCCTCTCATGTCTGCTGTTTTATGGCTTTACCAACCTAATCAGAGGAAGCTGCAGACTACAGCAAGGGGCTGATGAATCTCTGCCATTCAATAGCCTTTCATGTCACACCACCTGATGGATCTACAAGGCCTGCGCCCAAAATAGAGCCATTAATAATTCAACGTAATTATTATTTTTTTCATAGTGTCCTCTGTCCTCCCTTTACACTACTTAGTGCGCCTAATCTTCTGCATTTTTCTGCTGACAGTTCCACATATAGAGTTACTCAAGTCCGTTTTGCAGACAGAAAGGGGAGCAGATATATCAGTTTGCAAACAGAGAAGACTGCGATGACCCATTAAACTGGCCCCGGCATCAGATACATATCTTATTATATAGAAGTCATCTTAACATATAATATATACAGTTTATAAAACTATATATATATGTATGTGTGTTCATATGTATGTGTGTGTATATATATGTATGTGTGTTCATATGTATGTGTGTGTATATATATGTATGTGTGTATATATATATGTATGTCTGTGTATGTGTATATATATGTGTGTGTGAGTCAGGGGCGGACTGACAACTCATGGGGCCCCCAGGCAATAGAGGATCATGGGGCCCCTGTGTCCTTGCCCAAACTCAAAAAAGCCAATGAAAAAAGTACCAGGGGCATCTCATGGGGCCCCCTACTGACCCCGGACCCTCGGGCAGTGCCCGAGTTTCCAACTGGTCAGTGAGTGTGTGTATATATATGTTCATATGTATGTGTATATATATATATATATGTATGTGTGTGTGTGTATATATATATATATATATATATATATATATACACACACACACACAAACATATGCGCACACACACACACATATATATATATGTATGTATATGTATATGTACAGTTGTGACCAAAATTATTCAACCCCCACTGAAATTGAGTGTTTTGGCCAGTTTGACATTGCTTTTGATCATTCAGTCATCTTGCTTACATTTACATTAAAGAGGCACTTGTAGGTCAGACAAATATAACATAACAGTTATAATGAAATAACCACAAATGTCTTTTCTGTGCTCACAGCATTATCAGTTTTATTCAACCCCCAAGTGACATTCAATCTTAGTACTTAGTACAGCATCCTTTTACAGTTATAACAGCTTTTAAACGTGAAGCATAGCTTGACACAAGTGTCTTGCAGCGATCTACGGGTATCTTCGCCCATTCTTCATGGGCAAAGGCCTCCAGTTCAGTCACATTCTTAGGCTTGCGCACTGCAACTGCTTTCTTTAAGTCCCACCAGAGGTTCTCAATCGGATTTAAGTCTGGTGACTGCGATGGCCACTCCAAAATGTTCCAGCCTTTCCTCTGCAACCATGCTCTAGTGGACTTGGAGGTATGCTTGGGATCATTGTCCTGTTGAAAGGTCCAACGTCTCCCAAGCCTCAGGTGTGTGACGGACTGCATCACGTTTCCATCCAATATCTCCTGGTACTGAAGAGAATTCATGGTACCTTGCACACGCTGAAGCTTCCCTGTACCTGCAGAAGCAAAACAGCCCCAAAGCATGATTGACCCTCCACCATGCTTCACAGTAGGCAAGGTGTTCTTTTCATCATAGGCCTTGTTCTTCCTCCTCCAAACATAGCGTTGATCCATGGGCCCAAACAGTTCTAATTTTGTTTCATCAGTCCACAGAACACTATCCCACAACTTTTGTGGTTTGTCCACATGGCTTTTGGCATACTGCAGTCGACTCTTCTTATTCTTTGGAGACAGCAAGGGGGTACGCCTGGGAGTTCTGGCACGGAGGCCTTCATTACGCAGTGTGCGTCTTATTGTCTGGGCTGAAACTTCTGTACCCACATCTGACAAATCTTTTCTCAGTTCCTCAGCAGTCACACGGGGACTTCTCTCCACTCTACGCTTCAGGTAGCGCACAGCAGTCGAAGTCAGCATCTTCTTTCTGCCACGACCAGGTAGCGTTTCAACAGTGCCCTTTGCCTTGAATTTGCGAATGATGCTTCCTAAGGTGTCTCTTGGTATGTTTAACATCTTTGCAATCTTCTTATAGCCATTGCCCTTCCTGTGAAGAGAAATCACCTCTTCTCTTGTCTTCCTGGACCATTCTCTTGCCTTCACCATGTTTGTAACCACACCAGTAAATGTCTAGAAGGAGCTGAGTATCACAGTCATTTTAAAGCTGCCTAATTGGTGCTTATTATGCTTGATTGCTGCTCGGTGACATCCACAGGTGTTTTCAATACCTGATGGAAAGCACCTGTATGAACCTCTGTTCTTCAGAGTGGTAGTCTTTAAGGGGTTGAATAATTGTGGCAATGAAGAAACCACATAAGAACCATTTACTACTGTATTACATAAACAATTGATGTCATTTTAGTTGCATTTGGGTAGTTACAACGTCCTTGTAGGATTTGATTCTGAATACAATTCCAAATGTACACTATAGTCCCTAAACCCCTTTACAGCATTGGGGGTTGAATAATTTTGGTCACAACTGTATGTATATGTATATGTATGTATATATATATATATGTATGTATATATATATGTATGTATATATATATGTATGTATATGTATATGTATGTATATATATATATATATGTATGTGTATGTATATATATATATATATATGTATGTATGTGTATATATATATATGTGTGTATATATATGTATGTGTGTGTATATATATATACACACTATATTGCCAGAAGTATCGTCCCCGGCCTCCCAATCATGTGATTCAGGTGTTCCAATCCCCTCCCAATCATGTGATTCAGGTGTTCCAATCCCCTCCATATCATGTGATTCAGGTGTTCCAATCCCCTCCATGGACACAGGTGTATACAATCAAGCCCCTAGGCATGCAGACTGCTTCTACAAACATTGGTGAAAGAATGGGTCGCTCTCAGGAGCTCAGTGACTCCAAGCGTGGTCCCGTGATAGGTGGCCACCTGGGCAATAAGTCCATCCGTGACATTTCCTGGCTACTAAATATTCCACGCTCAACTGTTAGTGGGATTATAACAAAGTGGAAGCAACTGGGAACAACAGCCACTCAGCCACCAAGTGGTAGGCCACGTCACATGACAGGGCGGGGTCAGCGCATGCTGAAGTGCACAGTGCGCAGAAGTCGCCAACTGTCTGCAGAGTCAATAGCTAAAGACCTCCAAACTTGGTGTGGCCTTCAGATGAGCCCAACAACAGTGCGTAGAGAGCTTCATGGAATGGTCCATGAATGGTCCATGGCCGAGGAGCTGCATCCAAGCTTTCCATCACCAAGTGCAATGCAAAGCATCGGATGCCTTGGTGTAAAGCATGCCGCCACTGGACTCTAGAGCAGTGGAGTTGTGTTCTCTGGAGTGATCAATCTCTGTCTGGCAATCCGATAGACATGTCTGGGTTTGGCAGTTTCCAGGAGAATGGTACTTTCCTGACTGCATTGTGCCAAGTGTAAAGTTTGGTGGAGGGGGGATTATGGCGTGGGGTTGTTTTTCAGGGGTTGGGCTTGGCCCCCTAGTTTCAGTGAAGGGAACTCTTAAGGCAACATTTTGGACAATTTCATGCTCCCAACTTTGTGGGAAGAGTTTGGGGATGGCCCCTTCCTGTTCCAACATGACTGCGCACCAGTGCACAAAGCAAGGTCCATAAAGACATGGAGCAGCCAGTTTGGGGTGGAGGAACTTGACTGTCCTGCACAGAGTCCTGACCTCAACCCCATAGAACACCTTTGGGATGAATTAGAGCGAAGACTGCGAGCCAGGCCTCCTCCCCCGACATCAGTGCCTGACCTGACAAATGTGCTTCTGGAAGAATGGTCCAACCTTCCCATAGACACCCTCCTAAACCTTGTGGACGGCCTTCCCAGAAGAGTTGAAGCTGTTATAGCTGCAAAGGGCGGGGCCAACTCAATATTGAGACCTCCGAGCCAGGATTGTATCAAGGCACAGATCTGGGGAAGGGTACAGAAAAATTTCTACAGCATTGAAGGTCCCAATGAGCGCAGTGGCCTCCATCATCCATAAATGGAAAAAGTTTGGAACCACCAGGAATCTTTCTAGAGCGGGCTGCCCAGCCAAAATGAGCAATTGAGGGAGAAGGACCTTAGCCAGGAAGGTAACCAAGCACCTGATGGTCACTCTGAAAGAGCTCCAATGTTTCTCTGTGGAGAGAGAACCTTCCAGAAGAACAACCATCTCTGCATCACTCCACTAATCAGGCCTGTATGGTAGAGTGGCCAGATGGAAGCCACTCCTCAGTAAAAGGCAAATGGCAGCCCGCCTGGAGTTTGCCAAAAGGCACCTAAGGGACTCTCAGACAATGAGAAACAAAACTCTCTGGTCTGATGAAACAAAGATTGAACTCTCTGGCCTGAATGCCAAGCGTCATGTCTGGAGGAAACCAGGCACCGCTCACCACCTGGCTAATACCATCCCTACAGTGAAGCATGGTGGTGGCAACATCATACTGTGGGGATGTTTTTCAGTGGCAGGAACTGGGAGACTAGTCAGGATCGAAGGAAAGATGAATGCACCAATGTACAGAGCCATCCTTGATGAAAACCTGTACCAGAGTTCTCTGGACCTTAGCCCACAGCCCACAAAACAAAGGAGTGGCTATGGGCGACTCTGTGAATGTCCTGGAGTGGCCCAGCCAGAGCCCAGACTTGAACCCAATTGAACATCTCTGGAGAGATCTGCAAATGGCTGTGCACCGACACTCCCCATCCAACCTGATGGAGCTTGAGAGGTCCTGCAAAGAAGAATGGGAGAAATCGCCCAAAAATAGGTGTGCTGAGCTTGTAGCATCATACTCCAAACAACTCGAGGCTGGAATTGGTGCCAAAGGGGCTTCAACCAAGTATTGGGCAAAGGCCAGGAATCCTTATGTACATGTGGGGTTTTTTTTTTTTGTTTTATATTTAATAAATTGCTAAGATTCCAAAACAAACTTCTTTCACGTTGTCATGAATTTAATCCATTTTAGAATAAGGCTGTGACATAACAAAATGTGGCAACAGTTAAGCCCTGGGAATATTTTCTGGATACACTGTATATATAGGAAATGGCCCTAATAAAAACATTTGTTTTTTTTGCAGATTTATTTATTTCAGGTACTTATATAGCGCCGCCAATTTACGCAGCGCTTCACATATATATTGTACATTCACATCAGTCCCTAACCCTCAAGGGGCGTACAATCTAAGGTCCCTAACTCACATACATACACATACTAGGGACAATTTAGACAGGAGCCAATTAACCTACCAGCATGTCTTTGGAGTGTGGGAGGAAACTGGAGTACCCGGAGGAAACCCATGCAGGCACAGGGAGAACATGCAAACTCCAGGCAGGAGATGCCGTGGCTGGGACTCGAACCAACGGCCCGAGTACTGCCAGGTGGAAGTGCTAACCATTTAGCCACTGTGCAGATGCAACAATTGCACATACATTTTTTTTTTGGGCGGTTTTTGGTTGGTGGAGTGGGTCAGGTGGTGGTTGATGGTGGGCAGGTGGTATTTGGTGGGTGGATGGTGGTGGTCGGGTGGGTGAATTGCTATGCTTTTTTTTTTAATAAATACACCCCCTTTTGTATATATACAGTTGGCTGAAATTAAAGCCTATCAATTCATATCCAAATAGATATAATTGTTATACAGTATGTGGTTTTTATGTCTATTTTATTTGAATTTATAAGCCTTGATATTACCTGAATTAATAAACGCATTATATGTTTATAAACCACCTTTATATTTGCTCTGTAGCCTTGAAGATGGAATAGGTTTTTAAAGTCCCTGAAATGCGTTGGATGTTTTATGTTTTGCTATAATTAGTCAATGTCATCGATCAATATTGAAAGACTTAGACTCCTACATAAGGATCGACTCCTACATAAGGATGAGGTCAATGATCTTGTCCAAATATGGCCATGTGGCCATAATGGGTCAATTATGTCATCAGCACGAGGGTGCTCATGGCATCGTTGACCTAATAAGACCACATGGGTCAATGATATTGAACAAATATGGCCTTTTGGTCACATTGGGTCAATGAAGTCACCAATATGAAGATGTTAATGACATCATTGACCTAATATGACCACATGGGTCAATGACATAGGTCAATGATATTGAACAAATATGGCCTTTTGGTCATATTGGGTCAATGGTGTCACCAATATGAAGATGCTCATGACATCATTGACCTAATATGACCACATGGGCCAATGACATAGGTCAATGATATTGACCAAATATGGCCATGTGGCCATATTGGGTCAACGATGTCACAAGCATCTCTGCCTGTCTGTGCATGTGCAACTGCAGGGCGGAAATGCTCATGACAATATTGACCTAATATGACCACATGGGCCAATGACATAGGTCAATGATATTGACCAAATCTGGCCATATTGGGTCAATGATGTCACAAGCATCTCTGCCTGTCTGTGCATATGCAACTACAGGGCGGAAATGCTCATGACATCATTGACCTAATAAGACCACATGGGTCAATGACATAGGTCAATGATATTGACCAAATATGGCCATGTGGTCATATTGGGTCAATGATGTCACCAACACGAAGATGCTCATGACATCATTGGCCTAATATGGCCACATGAGTCAATGGCATAGGTCAATGATATTGTCCAAATATGGCCATGTGGCCATATTTGGTCAACGATGTCACAAGCATCCCCGGCTGTATTTGCATGTGCAACTGCAGAGCGAGAATGCTCATAACATCGTTGACATAACCTACCAGCATGTCTTTGGAGTGTGGGAGGAAACTGAGTACCCGGAGGAAACCCATGCAGGCACAGGGAGAACATGCAAACAGACCCATGTGGCCATATTATATCAAGGAGGCCATGTGCATCCTCGTGCTGATGACATAATTGGCCCAATATGGTCACATAGGTCTGTGAATGTCAATGACATTGATCAAATATGGTCATGTGGCCATAATATGTCAACGATGTTATGAGCATTCTCGCCCTGCAGTTGCACATGCACATACAGGCAGGGATGCTTGTGACATCGTTGACCAAATATGGCCACATGGCCATATTTGGTCAATATCATTGACCTATGTCATTGACCCATGTGGTCATATTAGGTCAATGAAGTCATGAACATCCTCATGTTGGTGACATCATTGACCCAATATGACCACATGGCCATATTTGGTCAATATCATTGACCTATGTCATTGACCCATGTGGTCATATTAGGTCAATGATGTCATGAGCATCTTCGTGTTGGTGACATCATTGACCCAATATGACCACATGGCCATATTTTGTCAATATCATTGACCTATGTCATTGACCCATGTGGTCATATTAGGTCAATGATGTCATGAGCATTTCCGCCCTGTAGTTGCACATGCACAGACAGGCAGAGATGCTTGTGACATCATTGACCCAATATGGCCAGATTTGGTCAATATCATTGACCTATGTCATTGGCCCATGTGGTCATATTAGGTCAATGATGTCATGAGCATTTCCGCCCTGCAGTTGCACATGCACAGACAGGCAGAGATGCTTGTGACATCGTTGACCCAATATGGCCACATGGCCATATTTGGTCAATATCATTGACCTATGTCATTGACCCATGTGGCCATATTAGGTCAATGATGTCCTGAACTTTCATGCCTCTTTGTGTACATGTACGACCAATTGGAGATGCTTTTGACAATATTGACCTAATATGGCCATGAAGCTTCAGGTCCATCCTGTTATGGAGTGACAACACCCTGTCCCTGTCTCCCAATTCTGCTCCTGTGTTGTCACCCTGTGACTTCAAGAGGCCATTTCAGCACACATTACACAGACTTGGTCCACTGTTGCCACCATCAATAAACTTGTCCTGTAAAATGCCATTCAGCCATCACAGGAGTGTATGTAAAAAACAAGTGGCTGCAAAGAAGATTCAGGAGATCAGCATAACTAAATGAAGGTGAAAAACAGTGTTTTCTTTAAAGAAAAAAGGCAATTATTTGTGATAGGCAGAGTACAGAGCAAAATACATATTGTCCAGTTGTGGTTCACGTCTACTTTAATAAAAAAAAGGAAAAACAAATCTCCCCGTTGAACGTTTGCACCCAAACTGTCTGTGACTTTTGAGGACACTATTGGAATCTGGCGCATTCCCTGGTGAGGCGGCCATTAAAGCCGTTCTCATGACTCCTCTCTCACCGCCACGCAGACCTCTGGCCGACATCGCCGATGTTGATGTAAAAGCCCCGTCCAAATACGCTGCGCGGTGATGGATTAGGATACATAATCTGTGGATCAGAAGAGAGATATACAAGCCCAGCTGTGGAGC